TTTGTTTATTTATTTGTTTATTTATTTGTTTATTTATTTATCTGTTTATTTATTTATTTGATTAATTACCCGGTTCCAGATTCAGACTGTTGTGAACGTGTTTTGGATTGGGTTGGTTTGAGATTAGTTTGATTTGAATTGATTTGGTCTAGTTTGAATTTATTGACTGTCTTGAGTCGATATGAATTGTTTGAATTGATTTGGGTTTGATTCGTGGCACCAGAAAATTGTGTTGTGTATATTTGGGCTTTCATTAGTTCGGATTGATTGAAGTCCTCGAATGTATGGGGAGTTGCTTGGTCTGGGTTTGATTGCTTTACTTGAATTGAGTTCGAGTGCTGGTACTAAAGGTGATGTACCTATATAGGAATTGGTATCGGAACGGATTTGCTTACTAAAGCGAATGATTGAATAATTGGTTTATTGAAGTTGGATATTTATACAACTGAAGCGAAATAGCGAATAGGCGTTTGTCTCAAAGTTGGGTAATTAAACCGTGACTAAACTGTGACTAAAAACCCTCCGTTGAGCAAAAACTCAGCGCTTACATAGTAATGTGAGTTTTAAGAATGCAATACATTGGGGCGGGGTCAGTATGATAATTGTCAACTTGAAGATTAGAGGATTGATGGGGTCAATGAGATATTGGATATGCCGAAAGGAATATGAATGGCATATAATAAGATAATTCATATTGTAACGAAAGATTATAATGATGGGAAGACCTGAAGTATGGTAACTGTTTGATTGTTCGGTGCAAAGATTATTTTTAGTGGAATTTCGAGCTTGTTCTCGACACAGACCTCAATGTTACTAATAGCAATAGAGCTTGCATTCTCTTATATAGAAACATGACATTTTTAAAAATAATTGAAGTATTAATTTCCAAATTGGTTAAATAAACACCTACTAGTATAATGATATTTTTATTATAACAATTGTATGTATTCAGCTCCTAGCAGTAGAAAAGCTCAAAGAGTGCTGAAACTAAGTAATTAGCGCCAACTTAATCTGATAGTAAATTATTAATTGGAAATTTAATATTTTTTCTTGATAGAAACAAAATGCATCTCCGAAACAATTGTTTGATGCTATTGTTTTAGCGATATTTTGTCCTTCCATTTATCTACAAATAAGTAAACAAATGTTTCATCAAATGTTTCAGCAAACTCAACAAATAATCTATTTTATCTTATTCTATCATTCTCGTTAAAAAATTTTAATTTAGCAAAGAAGATAATATAATCAATTATATATTTGAAATGTGACGTCGTATTTTCGTGTAAATTCTGACATTCAAATCATTTGAAACTAATCAGCCAAGATTATTTCTTTTACTACAATACTTTCCCTAAAACTAAATCTAAAGGTCTGTCCATCCTCGGAATTAATTACTAAATGTTATAAACTGTAATGAAATCGCTTTAGAACATGCCGATGCATATACAAAAAATTAGAAGAAATTGATATCTGATAGAATTTACATCTTCCAATCAATTTTATTTTTTTCATTTATATTTTGTTAATTTTTTCTTTGCCAGAATCATTCCTCATCGAATTTCTTGCATCACAAAAGAATTTTTTCAAACATTTGCAAAGTTGTATACTTATGTTTTCCTGTAGAAGTTATCGATAACGATGTTTTCAAAATGTAGAAAACGATAACATTAAAAAATGTTGTGGTATTATCAGTGTATTCTTCTATTTTTATGTAAATAATTGCTTACTTTCTCCGCCATTTCTAATTTCTTTTTGTTCACTCTTTTAAAATTCATTTTTAATTCATTTCCAATATTTTATCCGAAGAATAAATAGATAATTCTTTTACTATTCCATCAATAAATAGAGGGAAAAAGAAAAAAAATTAACCGATGGGTGGAAAATATAATAGAGAGCACAAATACCAATCACAAATACGCGGCCAATAAACAAATCAAAATGTTTGCAAATATTTTTCAAGTGAAGGTTTATTATCGACCAACTCTTCACTTTTATCGTGTATGATTTAAAATTTTAACAAATATTTGATCATATTCTGTCCTCACTTTTTTTACAATCTTTCTCTTCCTCTCTCTCTTTCAAATTTAAGTTTTTTTTTTTCATTCAAGAAATTACCAAATATATTTTTTAAGCATAAAATATTTTGATTCCTTAATGTTGATTTACGATATTTTAGTCATATAAGTTCCACTTTATTTCGCTTGCTTTTGCTGTTCAGCTACTTTACTTTGTGGTTAATCATCAAAAATGGGTCACTTGATTTAAAATTCAATTTATGCAAAAAAATTTGTGCACTGTACGTTTTGTTCATTATACAGTTGATAAAATAATTTTGTGATTAGTACGACGATTTTAGAAATATCAGACTTTCGAGAAAAGTAAATAACACTCAAGTTGACTACTAAAATAGCAGACAGATTTCAGGATCTGGAAATTTACTCATAATTATCTCATATTTCATATAATACAGTTTCTGGAACTTTACTGATAATTATCTCATATTTCATATAATGCAGTTTATGGATAAATTTGCAACTTTTTGCATTTCATTTTTAAGCTTCATTTCTCACGGTGACGCATTTTATCATTTTAATAATTCATTTCTAAATTTTCAACTCTCGTTCATTACGTATTCTTGACGATGAGCTACTTCCATAGTTCTATTTTTAACTGGAGAAAGAGAAAAAATGGACTAATTATGCTTCGATGTATAATAGAAATAAATTAGTTTATTTTATCAGAATCAGTCGCAATAATTTTTTCTGATTGATTTTTGACAGAATAATAATTTATTTTCACGTTAGCATAGTTATCTAATTGCATTCTAATCAATCTTTTGTTTTTAGAATTTTTCAACTATTAGATTAAAGTAATATGCGGCAAAAATTGCCGATTGTATACCATAACAATGAAGTTAATTTCATCCGAAAAATAATGCTACCGATTTCTAGCGTTAAAATATGATAATCGATAGTATAAATCATCCTTATAGGCAGCCAAAAATTTCGAAATAAACTTAGTTAATTGAATAATTGTAGACTGTGAATATTTTACTCAGCAATTATAAAATTATGGATAGTAAATGGATAATAAGTAAATATTGCTCCTGTACCCTTTTATTTTTCATATATTCTTCATTTGTAGCATTTACGAGTGATATTCTAAATGGGAATGAATTATCATTACAATTGAATTTCAATACCAATTCTTCACCCGAAAAAATTGACACAATTGGGTATACTGTTGCCGCGAATAACATCGTAAGTATAATGACTTTATTTTGTTTGAAAATGATTCACTGTTGTGAGGATAAACTTAAATTACTTAGACATAATTCCTCTTTCTAAACTTAATAAAATAGTAAGGTTTCTTTTCGTTTTTTCTTGTAAGAAATTCTAAAAAATATTAGTACAGAAGAAAGCAAATATTTGAGAAAATATCTGAGAAAGAATTTTAAGTCTGCCGGTGCATTATTTATTACAGCTAAATTCAATGAATACAACAACGAATCCATGCGATAACTTTTTCCAGTATGCTTGTGGACGATGGATTCATGAACATCCGATACCGGATGATAAATCTGGATACGGAACATTTGTAATAACTACTAACATAGTTCGAAATCAAATGAAAGGTAAATGCATATTCAATTTTGTAATAAAATGATATTTTGAAAATATCGTTCCTATTTTTGCGTTTAATATTTCACTCCAAATTATTACATCCTATTTAAAAATTCCAAATTAAAATTAAGCAAACGATTTAGTTTCCTTGGTACATTCTAGCAATAATTTGTGCATCAATAATTTGCAAAAATTTTGATTTTTTTTCAAAAAAAATTTCATTTGTATCTCATTTGAGCGATAAAAAAATTGCACAATTGTTGGATAGAAATATATTGTGAAACGAAATATGCAACCATTTAATTAGTTCATTTCATAAGTTTGGCAATTTTAGGATTTTAATATTTATAAGTTTGTCCTTTTTTCTAGCATTACTGGAATCAAATGAAACGGTAACACCAGAATGCATTGATGTGGCTCGTATTCTTTACAAAGCATGCATGAATGTTGATAAAATTAAAGTGGTAAAAACTGAGTAGGTTTTTTTAGCTTTTTTAAAAAAGCAAATATAACACTGAATTAAGAGTATATTTTAAAATATAGTTAAAATAATTTAGTAAATAATTATGTAATTTGATGTATGATTTATAAATGTTAATGTATTTATTTTTTTATAGGCAATTAATCGACGCATTTCGTAAAATTGGTAAATGGCCATTTATTGAAGAAAATTGGGATAATTATACGTTTGACATTACGGATATGTTAGCATCGGTAACTGAAACATTCGGTGATCCAATTTTGTTCAAAATTTTTATTGATGCTGAATCTAAAAATACCACAGTTCATGGTCTATATGTAAGCATAATATAAATCCAGCAGATAATTTTAACTGATTTATCAATATTTTAAATTTTAGAATTTTAGATTTATACAAATCTGTTTCTACTAATAGCCTATATTGAGTATTTCTTCTAATTTTTAAATTATTCAACAAAAATCAATGTGCTAAGTTAATTTTTAAGTGATCATATATTGACACGGAAATGATTAATTTTCTCAAATAAGAAATACTTGTTGAGTGATTTGCAGATAGATCAAGCTGATTTGGGTCTTGGAAGTGGTACTCAGGATTATTATTTGAATCCAACAAAGTTCCCGACACATTTGAACGCATACAAAGAATACCAGTTGGATACCTTAAAATTGGTGTTGAGCGGGGCTAACATTAGCTATGATATATCTCAGCTCATAACTGATGTCAACGATGTGACGGCATTTGAAATCGAAATTGCCAAGGTGTTATTTTACGTTTATTTTCAATTCAGATTTTGACTACGTTATATTATGAAGCAAGGAATGAAAAATTAAATTCTCAGGGCAAAGTAAAAACGATATCGATATCAGTTAACAAATGATAATTCTAGAATCATTCAAATCGAAATTAATATAATTAATACAAAAAAGGCATAGTTAATTACTTTTTTTAAAAAAAGTAGACCTCCGATAGCTTAAATTAGTACAGTCACGTCTTAAAATACTCTTAGCAACCAGGATATGAACTTTAAATTGATGTATGAAATCGCAATATTATAATGCATTAGACGAATATTCGAAATTTTGTCATATATTTAAAATAAAAAAATGAGTATGCGTTTCACCGGGAAAAAAAAATTTTGCTGAAAATTTGTTTTAGTTCATTGAACCGGAAGCAAATCGACACGATAGCTCACGTCTGTACAATAAAAGAATGATTGCTGATCTCTACAAATTGTTTCCACAGGTTTCATTTTAATTTTTTAATTTTGTTTTTATTTACTTTTACACTTGAATACTGTAATCATTATTTTATCCATTGAATTTTTTTTTAGTTTCAGTATATAAGTAAATTAAAAATTTTAAAGAAATTGTAACGAAATGAATAAATCGTAGTTTTTAATTATCCCATATTATTATTTTAAATTTAAAATTCTTGACAAATTTTACATTTCAGATTGATTGGATCAAATTTTTAATCCATTTAACACCAACTTCAATGCATGATATAATTGATAATAATACGAATATTATAGTTCAAGAAATGGGATTTATAAAAAATTTATCAAATCTATTGAGCATAACCAGCAATCGTATCATTGCTAATTACATTTCTTGGCGAATAATTGATGTTTGGAGTGATATACTGGGAAAAGTATTTGATGATATCCGACTGGTATTTTTAATTAATAAGTATAGTATTTTTTCTACAAGTATTTGATTAATAAATTATATCAATGAATTTTTTTGTTATTTCTGTTTTTTTTTACTTTATTCTTTTTGGAAATAATATTTCAACTATGAAAGTTCGAAAAAAATCGTAGCTGTTTAAAAAAGCTCACTATTATGTGATATCATATTACATTAAAAGAACTTTAATATACTTCATAAATAAATGTTGACAACTTTTTTTAAAAAAAAATAGAAATTATTGCGTGTAATGAGCGGTCAACAAAAAATGATGCCACGTTGGCAACGATGTGTACAGAGGTCAGAAAATTTGTTGGCACAAGCTACCGGCGCATTGTTTGTTCGGAAGCATTTTAGTTCAAGCATACGCAAGGAAGTAATGGTATCATTTCACGCCTTATTTATAAGATTTTGATTAATGAATTTGCTTATAATTATTTATTAGATTCAAAAGAATAAAATAAGCTAAATTTTTTTGAAGAAAATTTAAATTGGAAATTAAATTTATAAATGTGTATAATACTTTTTTTGAAAATATCTTTGATATTGTTGCATATATTCAAGTATGCAATGTGTGACAATAATAATATGATTGAAGACATTCTGGAAAAATTTTACATTAATCTGTTGAATTCTTTAGGATATCCTGGAAAATGTACAAAAAGCATTCCGAGATACTGTTAAAGAAATAGATTGGATGGATAATAGTACCAAAAATGCTGCTTTACAAAAGGTTTTTCACCTAAAGAATTTTTGAAATGTTCATTTAATTTAAAACTTCTATTGCTTTGTCGTTACAACAGTGGTTATCACATTTAAAAAAATGTAAATTATTTATTGTGTAAAATAGAAAGGCCTGTTCGTCGCTCTTTACCATTACCAAAAATGATGCATTAAGATCTTAATAGAAAAAATTTCAGAAAAAAGTAGCTAAATTAGGATAAATAAATGAAATTATATATCAAAATTAATGCATTAATTCTGTTGTTGTTTTCTTTTCTGACCGTAACAATTAGGGTTTGATTGCAACCTTCCAGTTACTGTGCACCTCAAATTTGGGTAATTAAACCATAGCAATAATAGTAAAACTCAATATTAAAACAAGAAACAAGCGATGCAAAGAATAAACCAAACGCATAACCTTAACGGAAGAAGTAGAAAGAATGCAGAGATGAATGATTTGATGTCTTATATAGGCAAAGTATACGTGCATATCATAACGCGGGAAAATGAGAGATAATAGAGGATATGAGAGCAAAGGAGATCGTGTGATACAATAATTGGAGGCAAAGATGGAAAGGGATGCGAGTACACGATGAATCATTTGACTGTGTTATTTGGTTTAAACA